AGTGCCTCCAGTTGCTCTTTCCGATTGTCCTCCATTGGGGTCCTGGGAATACTGGTTTTGCCCAGAAGAAGGTTGCCTTGGTGACCAGAGACCTGAGCTTTCGTAAACAGGCTCCGATCCGTCTTCTGTGTTTCTCTCCACAGCCTCTTGTCCAAGCGAATTTTCTATTCGACCAACCTGTTTCAGTAGCTGGCTCGGTACGGCCGTTTCTACGGGCTGACTCGTAGCTAGAGAGCGTCTGGCCTTCTGTGGTCTGGTGAAAACAATAACCTTTTGTTGGGATTCGTTGATTGTCTGTCGACCACCAACTTCTGGCCTATTGCCCTGCACATTTAAAGCTCCCGGGAGAGCATTAGGGGTGGACACATTTTCAGGCAGGTGTGCATTCTGGAAAGGGGCCTGGTTGCTGCCAGCAACCATATGAGCTTGAAAGGAAAGGGGACTTGTTCGGCCTGGCTGTCCTTGGAGCTGCAGGCTATTTGCTGCCCCATTTTGCCAGCCTTCCTCAACAGGAAGACCCTGCTGACGCGATATTGAGTCTGCCAGTTTTCTGCTGGCCTGTTGCAGCTTCTGGATCAGCAGATCCTGTTGTTGTTGTACGTAGGCGTCAGCCGGAAGGCCAATTGTGTCTTGCATCTCCACCGACTGGGGATATTTCGATGCTGAGCTGCCTGGAAGGATGGTAGTTGTGGAGGCAACCTGCACTGCAGTTTGCGGTAGGCGCGCGTGTACGCCGCCCGTCATGATCTGGGGCCGAGAAACTATGCAAGCGACTGACTTCTCCATCGCAACATCTGCTCCTCCTCCTTCCGACCGAGTTCGACTAGTTGGACTCAGGGCCGTTGGTCGGTTGACTCCATGCGATAGCATAGAAGTACCCGAGACCACTACAACCTGTGCGGGTTGCCCAGGCGGTGAAGATACAGCAGTGTACCGTGAAGGCGAATTCTGACTGGCCGCAGATGAACTCCTGTAGTAGCTGCCGTCTCTATTGTATACGTCTGTTGGATGAGTGGATGAATGTCCTGGCATGTTCCTATCTAGACCAGGTGAGTTGACACCCTGCTGATAACTTGACTGTAGCTGCTCTGTCCTAGTTGCCGTTGTACCGCCTTGGCAATCACTGTACCCTCTTCGGGAGCGATTTAAGAGGCAGCTGTCTGTGTGCCCTCCAGGCAGTGGTGTGGTTCTTGGCGAGGGTTGATTTGGACCCTCGGCTGGAAGTATGTCCACTGGGGCTGCCATCAGTGGTGACGGCAGGCTTGGATGTGGATGAGGCACATAGGGATCGATCAGATCCCGTTGAAACACAGCTAGTGGATCCTTTGGCTTCTGATAGATGGGTTGGAGTCTGGCAGGGGGAGCGGCAGTACGCCCACGAGTTACAGCAAGGGAATGATAAACTGAAATTCTTTTACCATTGGACGTGGATGCAGTACATGCGGTCACGGTGCGTACTGTGGACCTTTTGTGGGGTCTGGTGTTGTGGCTTGTAGAACTTGGCGATCGTCCGCCCTCCTCGTGATTAGACTCGTTCATGTTCACATGCTTGCAGTACTGGTCCTGACTGCAAAAGATTTGATGGGAGTCCAGTGAATGCAGAGACACATCCGAGGAAATCCGTGTTGGATCTTCGTTGTCGATTTCGCTGATGGGGCAAACTTCGTATGGGAATTGTTGCTGTCTAAACAAATTAATGGTTTTGTTAGCGGGGTCCTGCTTGCTCGATGCGCAGCCATTTCTGGTAGCCTCGGCTG